ATATATTTTAATATGGATTAATTGTTGAATGCTTTGTTTCCTCCATAAGTTAAGTAGATACCCAAATGTACAACAAAAGAAATCCGGTAACCTTCAAATACAGGCTGGGTGCTGTTCAGTGCTTGAGGCGTGTTGAATGATAGCTACCTAGGTCTTGATTGCAAAGTTACATACCAAGGGTTTGTAAAAAAAAAAATAGTTCTTAAATATATCCCTCTGAAGAAACAACACAGTTATTGTTATATTCAAGGCTATTGAACAATTCCATGGACTGTTCTAATTGGTGTGTTTCAGGGTCTTTTGTGGAAAAGCAGATCACATGTTGAATGTTGTCTCCCTACTGTTGGGCTGTATGTTACTAAAGGTTTTGTGGGTGTAGGTGTCCCCTGTAGATGGGGTGAGAACTGGTGAGCTGGGCCGTGTGTCCTGCTCTGCTCCAGGGAAAGTCTCTTGCTTTGGTGGAGAAACAGAGAAGTTACGCCCTAGCTCTGGGTGGCCGTTCGGCAACATTCCTGCACTCCTAGCTTACCTTTTTTTTTGAACAATACTCTTGTGTTTAAGGTATTTTGCTATTTAGTTTAGGTTTCTGACTGCCTTTGATGCCTGAAGATTACAATATACAAATTTCTCAGTGTTGGAAACTCCCAGAATGGTTTATTTTATTTTCTTTAAGTCGTAAAAGGTGCTTGTTCCAGGGAAAAAGCTAGGGCAAGGTCAGCATCTTTGAAATACACATTTTACAGATTAATTCTTTATTTAACCTAAGTATTCCTATTCAAACAGTCAAGCTTGTGATTCTTTAAGAACAAATAAATCACGTGAATGTGGTGAGCAGTGCTTGGCATGCTGAATGGGCAGAGGCCTCTTGCATTTGTAGCTTACCTTTCCTGCTTTGTTGAAGGAGATTAGCTTGCAGACTCAGAAATGTTTGTGCCTTCAGAAAGATGAGCTATGAAGCTCACCAGAGGGAGAATCAGTCCTTGTCATCTCTCCCGACACCGCTCTCCACTTCCCCCAACTATCATATTTCAAACCCCAGGCCTTGGTCCAGCCCATGTACAATTTTTGTAACCAGCTTAGTCGGGGATGTGATTTCCCTTCCTACTTCTGCCTGTTACACTTACTTTATGGCAGTAATGCCTGCTTTGTGGGAGTCACTGCAATGAAATTGTTCCTCTCCTTGAGTGGGAGGACTAGCTGTAGAAGCAGAGGTCTTTTGTGTCAGAGAAGTTGCGTCTTCCACAGTGTGGCTGGACTCTTTATGTACGTGGGTCTAATCAGAGCCGTTTGTCTTCTCTGTTTTGATGTGGTCGTGTTGAAGTGTCTGGGTGGTTCTCACCAATGTCTCTGGAAGGAACGGGCTTGGGAGCACCACCGTGCAGGTTCAAAAGCCTGCTGTCACCCCTGTCCCAGGGCATACGGGATACTTAGTGCCTCTGGATGTGCCTCCTTTGATGTGGTACCAGAGGCTGGTGGTGCTGTTAGTTGCACCAACATCTGAGCTGGAGTTGAAACGGCCATTTAAAAAGCGAAAAGTCTTCCATACTAAGGCAAGCGTGTTGTTATTATTGTCTTTTAACACCACGAGTATCAACAGTTAACTTTCAGTATATGGTATATAATTTTGAAGCAAAGGGGAGTGACCTCAGTCACTTAATATTTGACATTATTAAGAGAATGCCAGTCTGTTTATGATTCAGCAGTCAAAGACTTTCCTGAAACCATGCCCACCGCTTTAAGTTACACTGTGGACTCTGAACTGCTGCAGAACACTTCTGCCTTCAGGCACTACAATGTAGAGATCTGTCAAGCAGCTGGTTTTGGGGGGAGGGGAGAGGGCTTATTGTAAGAGTTGCATAAAGCACTTCAGAAACACTGCAGGTTTTTTCCCTTTCTTTCCTTCCCCTTTTCCCTTGAGTTATTTAAACCGTGCTAGACAAAAAGTTTAACTGTGGGCGACACCTGAATACCTTTGGCAACATTTGTGCTTTCTGGAAGAATGGTTCCATCTTTAACATAGAAATTTCTAAGTGAGGGCTTTTACTTCAGATGGACACCTCTGCTGTCAGATCACACAGAAGCAGATCACCGTGACAGGCTGGGTGCTGCCTTTGACCAGATAAATCTTGCATCTGAACCTTTCTAAAGCAAGCTCCCTGTGTCCGTGCTGCAGGTGCGGCTGTGGAGGCACGCCGGAGCTTGGAGGAGCTGGGAAGCAGCACCTTACAGCACACTGGTGCCATCTGACGGTAAGCTTTCCCTGCAGGTTTTCCCCCTTCCCATCAATGTCAACGAGCTTTGAATTTATTTTGTGGGACCAGGGTGAGATGACGTTAGCTGCATGTTATATATACACCTATATATCTCCCAAAAATAGAAGTACTATATTCATTAATGAAATCTAGAATGTTTTGTGTCGTTTTCTTTATTCATCCTGTGCTTTAAAAGCAGCTTTTAAATTAAATGACAATTTACAATATGGTTTTTTCACTTAAGTTTTCTTTCTCCCCTCCAGAAGTAACTATTAACTACAGACATGGTCTTCCTGTGATAACTCTTACACTGCCCACGAGAAATGAACGCTGTCAGTTCACTGTTAAGCCAATAGTGACCACTGTAGGGGCATTCCTTCAGGACGTGCAGAGAGAAGATAAAGGAGTTGAGAGGGCGGAAGTCTTTGCAACAGGTATCTTACATTTCTGTCATTCCTCAAAATTAATACATACCTTTTTCAAATGGACTGTATGTCTCTCCAGTTCAGCCCTCCATCAGGTGGAAAAGCTGATTAAAAATGCAGAATTGGACATGTTACTGTAACCTTTCTTGTATCCCAGTAGTGTCCTCTGTTATCTTTTTCAGGAAGCTTGTTTTGGTAATGCTGTCTTTAAATAGGTGTCTCCCTTCTGGTTTCCTTGATATCTTTTTCTATCCTTGTCCTCCATGATCATTCTTAAAGACAACCAGTCAGGCTCTTGAATATGATGTCTGCCAGTTGTCCAGGAGCCGGAAGAATCAGTTTGCCTCTCTACAAACTTGAACTCATATGGAAAACTTACGAAGACCTAATCAACCAGATAATGTGTGCAATGATAAAGGGCAGCTTTTTTGAGACTTTTGGGAGGTTTCATTCATCAGCTGGAGTACAGTACTTCAGGGCCCTTGGGTTGAAAGGAAAAATCTATACTGATAAATAGCATGTTGTCTTGCGTCCTTGTAGCATACTGTTTATCCCGTTGTCCCAAGTCTTCAAGTAATTTTCTCAAACTTTGCTCACTGTTTTCATGTGTTTTGTCTCTTTGGTCTGCCTGTTGATAAAAGCTAACATCCAGTTAGTTAAACTGGTTTTCCATTTTATTTCCAAGATAACTTGGTTTGTGTTTTGTAGTTTTTCCACAGCAATTCTGAAAAGTCTTTCAAACCCTGTCCTGGTCCTAGAGGAGGACTCAATCTCAAAAGTAGAACTGAGATGTAGCTTTCTTGTCTGAATGTGGTAGAAGAGGTACTTGAATTTGGCGAACTAAAAGCATCTATTTCTTCCCTTTCCCTCTCACTCCCCTAAAAAGAAAGAAAGAAAAGGGGAAAAAAAAGGATAGCTACACCCCTACAGAAATATTTACTTTCCATCAGGTAACACATAAACAGAAGAAAGGATGAGGTCAAGGAAAGTTGGTCCAAAGTTTCATAGCCGGGTGCATTCATAATGATCACTTTCTTCCTGAATGATGTTGCAGAGGGCTGCAGGGACTTTTAAAGGAACTGAAAATAGATTGATGCTCCTAGAAGATGAGGAAGCCATAGATCTAGGAGAAGCTGCTTTGAGAGCACATTTAGTAAAATAGGAAAATACCCCATAGAGCAATATATTTATATCCTCTAGAGCAATGGTGATGTGATCTGTGTGGATCCCAGTGTGTGCATGAGCTTCGTGTACACAGAAGCTTTGGCATTTTTGTTTTGGTTTTTTTTTTTTTGTTTGTTTTTTGGTTGGGTTGGGTTTAATGCTGTGTCTGCTAGGTAGCAAAGGTGAAAAATTCTCTTAAAGATAATTTCATAAAAGATTCTTGTATCTTCAGAAGCCACTGTAACAAATGGTCATTGTCAGTATCTGGCCTTCCTGTTAACATGGAAGTTTTCACTAAAAAGAATTTCTTACTGCGGTAAGGCAGGGCTAGCCAAGAACATGGGCTGGCAAACAGTTAACCTCTGTACTGGTGCGGAGACATCCATGACAGAAGTAATTGTGATTCACTGCTGAATTGCATTCTTCTGTGGTATATCAGCAAAAGCTAACTACTTGTTCAGCTTCAGTGCAAACACTGGTCACTTGTAGGTTTCTTACAGAAATTATATTCTGCTTCACAAGTCTGACATTTTTGGCATGGATAGGCAGCAGGTTCCAAAGTGGAAAGGGAATCGGACTGTTTTCACCTTGTCTTATCTGTTTAAAGATCCCCCCCCGCCCAACTTTGGAATAGAAACATTGTCCTCTGATTAAAACAATGACTGTGAAAGGGGTCTCTGCTCTGTGTCTTTCAAGTGCAGGCAATTGTAATGTTAGAGAACAGCTTAGATGTTTAATTTATTAGGAAACTGATACTGGAAAGAGAAACTATTGATCAAGTACTGAGAGTTGCATTTAAACATTTATTATTAAAGAAAAATTATGAAGCCTTGATTTTAGTGCAGACACTTCTGTGTCACTTAGCCGTTAAGTGAAACCCAACCTTAATTCACAGTGTTAGTGCTGTGTATGATGACTCACTTTCATTTTCTGTGCATTGGATTTTGGTCCTGCAGAACTTCTGTGGACAAAAAATGGCCCTTTGTCCACATTTGAACACTTGTGCTTAGGTATAGGAAGGAAAGTAGCCTTTTCGTGAAAGCCTGTGGGGAATTTTCTAAAAGAAAACACCTCCCTTCCCCCCAAACTTTTCTGCTTTTCAGTTAACAAAAGATTGGACAGGTTAATAAATGGGTTGTATCACATCCAGAACAAAGAGCCTGTCTGGCACTTCTTTTGAAGAGCATTTTTTGCTTAAATGTCACTTTGTAAATGTCACCTTAATTTACATGCAAATGAGCTTTGTTCTATTACACTGTAAAAGAAAAAAAAAAAGGTGGATGGGCACATTAAAATTTCAGATTTTGGATGGAAAACGATAGCCTTCCAGATTTGCTTTGCTACCCACACAGAGTTAGGTCAGAGAGTCAACTGGTGTGTTAGCTCACAGAGTTCAGTAGTCTCAGCCTCAGCAGATGGGGCCCAAGGACAGCGTTCCAGTGAATTAATAATTGCAGGCGTGGGGCTGTCTACAGTGCTTTTCTGTAGTGGGCATATGGGGACAGATGGAGGAGCTAGGGCAGTAGCACTGTGACAAATATTTACATACAAAAATCTTCATATTTTGTAGCCTGATCATTATTCATCCCAGGAGTAAAGCTGTTGCTTTCCGCCACTGCCCACCCCTTGGCAGGGGAAGGTGCCCTGTTTATGTATAGGAAATGAAGAGCAGGTCAAATGGGTACCATGAAACATCTGTGGCTTTTGAACCCCCCATGTCACAGTGATGTGCCTAGCAGCAGTGGTGTGTGGCTCCGGAGGTTCTTGCACCATCTGAACCCCCTGGGGGAGCTGGTTTTACTGGGCAGCTCAGGAAACTGCTGGACATGGACCAGCGAGAGCTCCAGGGATCCACTGTTACATGTTGCTGCTAATGACCCTGGGAGTTCCTTTTTGGTGTCTTCAGGTCCCTGCGGGAGGTAATGTCCTCCTTGCCCTCCTCGCTGCGGTGAGGTGTGGTGGACAGTGAAATGAGATGAGGACGTATGAAAGCCAGCAGGCAGGAAGAGTAGTACTTGGTACAGCCATTCAAGCAGGCCTTCTGCATGGCGTCAGTGGTGTACTGCAGGAACTCCTATCCATCCTCCTGTCTCTGGAAAGCGGATCTGCTGGGCGATCTCCACAGGAGAGGGAGGAATTGGCCCCAGCACTTGCTGCAACTGATGCAGGCCTTTCTTTGGGGCAGGAAGAAAAAAGGTTGTTTACAAACTTCAGGCCCCTTTAAACAGGGGAAACAAAAAGCAGAGATGGGACAAAACAGATCTTTCACGTTTCAGCAGAGGTTTTAGATTACATCTGCCCTGGTGTATTGAATGTAAAATAGGAAGGGATCCTGTTATCAAGAAATCATAAATTTACCAGAGTACTAATCTTGCAAGATCTGCTGTGGCGAGAATGCCCTGGGAAGGGCTGCTGTGTGTCCACGCTGTTGGACAAGAGCCTTTTCATATATTGAAGTTGTGGTCCATCTACCAGTGGCAAATCACTTCTCAGCCCTAGGCAGACTCAAATACTGCCTTTTGTGTGAAAGGGCCTTTGGCAAATAAAAATGGTAGAGAGGGAATGAAAAGAAGGAAAAAATACAAAGGCAGGATAAAATCTTCAACAATCAGCTTTCCTGATTGAATGTCACAGTTGCTCCCTTGTCTCTGATTTTAAGTCATTAAAATAGATATGATTTTTTTTTTCCCTTAGGCTCTTCTCTGTGTTGTTGATGGGGTAGCATTCACGTAAATTTTTGAGTAAAAAAGAAAAGTAGAAAAGGGTTCTCCAGAGCTTTTTAGACTAATGCCTCTGTGGCTCCTGGTCTGCCTTGTACTGGACAGCCTAGCTATGTACTACTTAACTCCCAGTCACAACTGATAGTGAAACAGGGTGATTTCAAGTACCGTGAACAAAAATCTGACGACCACTACTGACAAGAATTCTTCCTTTTGCCTGGAAGAGCCTGTTTAAGGAAAGACGTAAATGTATAAGTGAAGATAAGGTCTTCGAAGGTCTTTTAATTTCCCCAAACCCTTTGTCCTAGTGAGAATGCAAACTTGTGTGTGGATGGAGAAACAAAAATGCAGATCTTCATGTTGCCGTTTGTTGCTGTTCTATGAAAGACTTCTTTTTGTTCTGCCCTCCCCTTCCCAATGAGTCAATTCTAGTCACAATCATAACACAAGAAAATGCAAGTCTGCTCATAGAAGTGACAAAATCCAGATGACACTGCTAGAGAAAGCATTCAGGCATACACTCTGTGTTTGTGTATTCCTCCTTACTTTTTAGTATCCGGTACCAGATTTACTGAAAGTACAGTTCCCTTCCAAACTGTACTAATAAAGAACTCTAGCACTTTTCCAAAGGGATATCAGCTAATGTTTAAGATTGCTTATCATAAATGGTTTAGAACTTAAATCTTTCTTCTGCAGATGGCAGCAAGGTCTCTGATGCAACCTTAATGGAGGTCTTATTGATGAATGACTTTAAACTTGTTATCAACAACACAGCATACAGGGTGTCACCTCCTGTAAAAGGTAAGAGCAGTGCTTAATAACTCTGATTATCTCACTTCATCTAGTGAAAGGCATAGGAAGTCTCAGAAAACTGTCTGGAAGCTGTCTAGAGAAAGGATTTCTCTTTGGTTTTATTTACCATTGTATGATCCTGCTTTTCAGGATTGGAGGTGGGGAGAGAATGAAGAAGGGTGGGTTCTTGAATGTTTTAAGACACACATTTTCTTTTCAGATAAGCTGAGTAGTGAGCATGCTACTGAAATGGAAGATATCAAATCCTTGGTTCACAGATTGTTTGTGGCTCTACATTTAGAAGATCACCAGATCAGGAAAGAGAGAGAATTGCTACAGAAACTGGACCATCTGAAAGAAGAGCTGCTGCCTCTTGAACAGGTGGGGAAGAGGGGTTACTTTTTTTAAAAACTCAAAGGCATTTCCTTTCATCAAGAGTAAGTCCTGTGATTGATAGAAAAATATCAGCACGAATGGCTAGGGCGTGTCTGTTTTGTTATGTAAGTGAGGGTCAATTCAAATATAATTCAAATTATTTTCAATTCAGTTCTTTTCCATCCAGCTATGCAGATTCCCTGGGTAGAAACCACAACACCTGAAGAAAGCTGTCATGAACAAGCCTCAGCATGGCTAGTATTGGGATGGTGTCCTGGTTTGAGCAAGGGTGGTACTGGATTGGAAGTCCACGTAGTCACCTGTTGCTGTATGAGTTCTGAATACCCATTACAGAAAAAGCAATAGTGAGGTAGAAACCATCTGTGGCTTAGGCTAAGGTTTTCTGTATCACCAAGGCAGCAAGGCAAATTATTTGGATTAATGGTTGCCAGAATCCAAGAAAGGAAGATAGGAATGTTCATCTAGGGCAGGCCAAGCTAGCCCAACGTGAGGGGAGGAAGCCAGAAAGAGCCTGACAAAGTGGACAAACTTTTACCTGGCTTCAGACCTGCTTTGTGAGGACCAGCATGAGCATTAAACAGAGCTGCTTTGAATGATAAATGGACATCTGATAGTGGAATCTAGTAGTGGAAAGGGGAGATTAAAAGCAGGATTTCTTGATGCACAACAGCCAGGAAGTTTGGTTGCCGTTGGATTTCAGTCCTTTTCTTTCTCAGCAGGGTAAATCAGTAAGAGGAGTCACTAAAAGATCTTGAGAAAGGATCCAGGCCAGCAGGAGAAAATATAGTTGAGAAGCTGCTCATCAGACAAGCACTCATGTTTGCTTGAACAGGTTTCTGTATTTCTTTTCCTTAGATGAAAGCCAGAGTCACAGACAGTGCAGATGCAAAGACCTCCAGGCTTCTATGGGTTGGCTTAGCTCTGATGTCAACACAAGGGGGAGCGCTGGCATGGCTCACATGGTGGGTCTATTCGTGGGACATCATGGAGCCAGTCACATACTTCATCACTTACGGGAGTGCCATGGCTTTCTATGCCTACTTTGTTCTTACTAAACAGGTAAGTCCTCGTTTGGTAAACGTCTGGAGTATTATAAAGGAGGAAAACTGACTCTGAAAATCAACAGTGTTTGGGCTCTGAAAATGCAATTCAGTAAGTAGCCTTGCCATCAGACAGGGATTTGTCCGATCCCTAATGGGGCTGGATACAAACCTTACGTTACGCTAAATCAAGCCAGGTACTGTTGTTAACACACGCACTGCAGACCAGCTACTGAGCATAACTACTATCTGTAAAATTTCATAACCTAGGGA